ATGAAAGGACTTAATTTTGCATGTATGTACTCATGTATACAAAATGTACTCAACGTTACAAAATTTGGTACGATTTTAATTTAGAGGAACGGATGAATCTAAAATCGTGAAATTTAAAATTGACATTGCTGGTATAGTGTAGGATTGTGAAATGGAGGGGGTTTTCGAGATTTGTACTTAAGTGCACGAATAGAACTAAATGGTAAAAATTTTGTAAAACAGATACAGTTGAAATGCTGAAATTTGGAAATAAAGTAACTATTGCCTTGTAGGATTAGGCCATGTAGGAAGTTTTGGAAATTTGTTCTTATGTGTACGAAATGGTACTAAATTTGATACAATTTTGTTTTGGCTAAACCAATAGAGTTGGTATCCTGAAATTTTAATATAAGATTACTGTCGGAGTGAAGGATTAGTATATTTAGGTAGTTTTGGAAATTTGTAATCACAGGGTGAGATAAAAAATAACTGCAACAAAGTCAAACGCCATAATTTTTACTTTTTTTAATTTTATTGAATGAAAGCAAAAAATGTCGGAAATAGCATCAAATTTTAGAATAAGTTTAGATTTGTTCCAATTAGTGACCTTTGGCACGAACTATTGCCTTCAAACGGCCAATGAAACCGTCACACACTGCCCGAATGTTGCTCCGCGGTATTTGGTTCATTTCCAGCGAAGCGCTTGCTTAAGGCGATCGACACATTGGTATTTTTTAGTGCCAACCTTGCTTTCCAAAATACTCCAGACACAATAGTCCATCGGATTAGTATCCGGAGATTTTGGTGGCCATTGTGCGCTGGAAATAAAGCGAGGTACCTCATTTTGTAAACACTCTTTGGTGGCGCGTGCTGAGTGCGATGGTGCTGAGTCCTGTTGGAATGTCCAAGGTCTGCGGCCAAAATGTGTGTGTGCCCAAGGCTTTAATACACCGACCTCTTTGGCAAGTAAACACGATAATTATGTTTGTTTACAAACTGCTGGACAACGAATGTTTTCTCAGAAAAACAAACCCAAACCAGAAAACCAAATTCGGCAGTTCACCACTTTCGGCCAAGCGATGCAAGCCTTTGGCTCTTTTGAGTCTATTTTCTTTTTATAGCGGAGTAAGTTATTGCTCACTTTTCAATATTTGTTGAATGGAATATTGCGATATGTTCAGCTTACGAGCCATTTTTCGGTCACTGTGACGCGGGTTTTGATCAAATCGCTTTTTACTTTTCGAACCGTTTCTGCTAATGTCGCTGTTTTCTTCCGTCTTCTTTTTTGACGTTGGGCTACGCTACCAGTATTATGGTAACGAGCGATGGTATGAGACAAAAAAGATTTATTCACATTTAAATACTGGACTGCTCTGAAGATAGTCACTTGTGGTCTTCCAGCCAAATATAAAGAAATTGCACCATCGCGCTAGAATTCAATCACGAATACTTTTTTTCTGGAAAATGCTCATCAAAATGCTTTTGTACGATTGTAGTCAATATAATGAGCTGTCACTGAACAGCTGTCGGACCAGTGGCTTAAAAATGACAACAGTCTGAAGTTGGTTGCCGTTTTTTCATCTCACCCTGTATTTGGTACAATTTGGTATTGGGTGAACGAGACAGTGCTTGCAGTTTGCAATTTGGTATTAGGGTTGTGGTTCAAGTGTAGCCTTGACATGTGGAGGTGATTTTGGAAATGAGAGTCATAATTGTACGAAAAGTACTGTATGGTATTATATTTGGTATTGGGTGGATGGACATTTAGTTCACTGTTGGTATTTGAGGTTGAGATTTGAAGGTGGGTTTGGAGAGGAGTACTTTGATTGTACGAGAAGTAATAAATTTGATATTGTGTGAAGGGGGTAGACTGATATGCTGATATTTGAAATTTATGTCACTGTTGGTGTTTGAGGTTAATATATTTAGGTAGTTTTGGGAATTTGTACTGCAATTGTTATAAAAGCACTAAATATTATTAAATTTGGTGATGTGTGAAAATATAGAGCTGGAATCTCAATTTCATACAGAGGTCTCTGTTCGTATCTGGAGTTAAGATCTGGACGTGGTTTGGGAAACGATAGTAGAAATTATTGTACGAATAGTACTAAATAGTTGTAAATCTTGTATTGGGTGAAGGAATAGAGCTGAAATCCTGAAATTGTATATGGATGTCACCATCGGTGTCTGAGGTTTAGATATGTGGGTTATTTTGGGAATACGTACTATGATTGTTCGAAAAGTACTAAATGGTACTAATTTGAATCACTTTTTGTCTACGTTGGCAAGATGTAGATCCTTTTGGATATACATAACTAAATGTTACTAAATTGAGTATTGGGTAAGTGATAGATCTGAAATTTCATAGTGAGGTCTCTGTTAGTATCTTGAATTTAGATATGAAGGTGGTTATGGAAATGTATATTAGAATGGTACGAAAAGTACTAAATAAGCTATTGTGTGAAGGAGTAGATCTGAAATCCTGAAATTTGATGTGGATGTTACTGTTGATGCAGGTGGTTAGGTAAGCGTACTCTAATTCTATTAAATGATACTAACTTTTGAATCGAGTGAATGTATTGAGCTTTAATCACGAAATTTTATATTGAGGTGTCTGTTGACATCTGGAACTGAGATCTGGTAGTAGTCTTGCAAATGATTCTTTTGCCTAAATTTCCACTTGGGAGACGATACATTTGTATCAAGATTAAAGATCGACCCCAAATCAAGGATATTGCAAAAACGGTTTATATTTATCCTTTTAGATCCGCATGCATAAATTACGATACCGTCTCGATTGCGAGTTCAGGGCCTTGAACCAAGGTCCCGGCATTAGAGTAATGTTTTCAAATCTAGATAAATTTTTAAATCATGTTTTATGGGGAATATTAAAAATTAATATTATTTTTTCATGATGTATATGAATCAAACATATTTTTATTCTCACCAAGATCCCAAACAAAAAACAAAACACTTGACGCTCTCTTCAAAAGTAGATCTGAAATCCTGAAATTTGATGTGGATGTTACTGTTGATGCAGGTGGTTAGGTAAGCGTACTCTAATTCTATTAAATGATACTAACTTTTGAATCGAGTGAATGTATTGAGCTTTAATCACGAAATTTTATATTGAGGTGTCTGTTGACATCTGGAACTGAGATCTGGTAGTAGTCTTGCAAATGATTCTTTTGCCTAAATTTCCACTTGGGAGACGATACATTTGTATCAAGATTAAAGATCGACCCCAAATCAAGGATATTGCAAAAACGGTTTATATTTATCCTTTTAGATCCGCATGCATAAATTACGATACCGTCTCGATTGCGAGTTCAGGGCCTTGAACCAAGGTCCCGGCATTAGAGTAATGTTTTCAAATCTAGATAAATTTTTAAATCATGTTTTATGGGGAATATTAAAAATTAATATTATTTTTTCATGATGTATATGAATCAAACATATTTTTATTCTCACCAAGATCCCAAACAAAAAACAAAACACTTGACGCTCTCTTCAAAAGTAGATCTGAAATCCTGAAATTTGATGTGGATGTTACTGTTTATGCAGGTGGTTAGGTATGCGTACTCTAATTTTATTATATGTGGACATCTGTAACTGAGATCTGGTAGAAGGGAGACGATACATTTGTATCAAAATTAAAGATGGTTTCCAAATCAAGGATATTGCCAAAACGGTATATACTTTATCCTTTTAGATCCGCATGCATAAATTACGATACCGTCTTGACCGAGAGGTCATTGCGAGTTCAGGGCCTTTACACCCAGAGAAAAAATGACAACATCCGTGTATGAAATGACCACATCCGTGTATGATAGTGTATCAACCACGTTTGGTGTCAAAATGAGCACGCTGTTGTCATTTTGACACCGAGATTTTGGCAACGATTTCAACAACAGATGTGCATGAAATGAGCACATACGTGGTCATTTCGAGCACGCCCCGTTGTCAGATTGTCAACGCTTCGTTGTCAGATCGTCAACGCTTCGTTGTCAGATTGTCAACGCTCCGTTGTCGGATTGTCAACGCCCGTTGTCAGATTGAAATCAATGGTGGTCATTTTTTGATATCCGTTCCTTTTCCATTTTATACCCTTAGTAGAAGAAACGACATTTTTTGAAAAGTATTTTATTGAACGAAACCAATTACATAAATTCAATATAAATACATATTTGATTTAACAAAACAATTCGAATTACATATATTCAATGTATAGAAACAAATTAAATTAACTTAAATCTGAAATAAACTTTTCCATTATTCATAGGATATAAGTGAAATGGGTAAGTAATAAAATCTAAAATTGGTATTAAAAAAATTGTATCCTCATTCAGAGAACCAACTTCATACGATTGTAAATGGTAATCAAAGTTTTTAACTTTTACTTGGTTACATAAAATGTAAACATTTTCATTTTCAATTATTAAATGTTTAATTTTGAAAAGTTCAATTGCGGCATTATTTGTTGCTAAATAATAGTTTTTTTTATACCTAGTTCCCTTAAAAAAAATGTCATCAGACACTTTGCAATTTTGGTAATTTAAAACTGGCTTACTTTTTTTGTAACAATATTCCTCTTTTGCCAAATCTTCGATGGTATGCGTATTAATGATAACATTTGGTTCTAAGTTATCTTCGTGTTTTAATAAAAAATTGGAAAATTTCAATCCAGACTTAATAGATAATGAACGACAGGGATTTACTCTTGATGTAGTATTTCCTAAATAGGCTTTTGCTTCCTTGTGTTTAGCTTCGAATCTCATGCTCCAGAGATATTTAAGGGGACCACATTTTCGGATAGCTGTGGGATAGTGGACAAGAAAGTGGTGTTTCGGTTTTAACGAACCGTATAATGTTATATAAAGTGAATGGTGATCTCTAATTAATTCTTCCAATTTTATTAAATCGTCTTCTATATAACTTGGTCTTAAAAGTAAATCGATTATTTGTAATAATATTATAAAAACTTTCCAGTGATCGTTGGAGAAAGGAATTAAATCGCCTACCATTAAAGGTAAAAAATTAGTAAAACACATAGTTTCACTAGCTGTCATTTTTAAGTTATAGTTTTTCAATCTACATAAATCTAGTGGTCCAGATTTATTTCCCACTTCAATTTCTCCAAATTGGAATAAAGATTTTCTGCTGTTAATACAATCTAACGTAACAATATTTTCTTGAATCAGCCCGAGAATTACATTAGACATATCGTAGACACATATGCCCTCGAAAATGTCATGCATAATATCAAAACAAAAATTTTCAGTGACGTTAAAATTTGGTAAAGATTCGAAGATACACTTGTTTTTAATACCTGTTTCTTGAAAATTATTTTCCAATACATTTGAGTTGTAATTCTCTTGGTTTCTTAAACTATCTAAATGCTGAATTGCGTCGAATTGCATTTGGGACTTTTTTCTTCTACATACCCGGCAAAATCTTTTAGAGTTAAATGATTGCACGTAGCCTAAAATACTATTAACTGCTAAATTATCTCCAATAATTACACCTAAAATAAAATGCACCTTCTGAACACTTTGTTGAACACAAATTTCAACCCCTTCTTCTAGAATTTTTAACTCTTCTACAAGATTGTGAAATGAAACTTCATTTCCACGTTCTTTTAAATCCTTTGATGGTATAAACGCAGCAGTTAATATATAATCAAGTTTTGACAACAAGTGCTGTGGCATTGAAGGAAAGCTAATATAACAACCACATATGGAAAATGTATGGGTTCCAAGAGGATTATTAATTTGAAAATCATCCATGTAAAGGACATAGGGAATAACTAAATTGTACTGATATTTTAATAATTTAGTTTTATATAACTCACCGTTTGTAAAATTTTGTAAAACAGGTGAATTTAGGAATTTTTTGGAGTTTTCTAATGTCAAATCTAAGAGATTTGGAATTTTAAAAAGGGCACTTATCATGAATTTCAGTGGCATTATATAAATATTGGATAACTTTGGACCTAAACTGGGATTTCCGCTGATAACAATTTCCGAGACTTGATTGCTAATTACATAAACCTTTGGATCATCATAAAAGTTTAGTTCTTTTAAAATTTTTAAAAGTCTATATTCCGTTCTAGTTTCTTCGAAAGGATTTTTACAAAAGTTTAGTAAGTACCTTAAGTCTTCATAATTTGGATGATCAGTTATATATTTTTCAATTGTACATGAAATGGATGAAAGCAGAATTGAAACAGAATGTTGTATTTCTATAACATGATTTCTAGGCATATAGCTTTGACCATGTAATTGTAAAGACAGATATAAGGTTTTCTTTTTCAAAACATTTAAATCCTTTTCTATTGTATTGTTGTTAATAACAGTTTCACTGTTTGTATAATCATTTTCTTTTGATGATGACATTTCAACTGGCACATTAATGGCTTTAACCATTGGTGGAGCTTTTGTGTGATTCTTGTGAAGTTTTTCTAAATGAATTCTGAATGACGTAAATTTTGTAAATGTTTGCTTACAGTTGTCCTGAACGCATTGTACTTTTAAAAATTTAGTGGACATTAAATGGTCTGTTTTCAAATGAGCTATTAAAAGATTTGCCTTATCAAAATGCTTACGGCAACGAAAGCAAATATACATTTTGAATTGTACTTTAATTATTGTTGCAGAAATTAATAAGTGAAGTCAAATTAACTGATTTTATATCATATACAGTATTAATTTCATAAAAATATTTTTGGATAAAAATCCATGGAATTTGGCAGGCATTTGGATATTTTAAAGAAAGTGCATGAAAAATTTTAAAACATGTATCTAAACATTCGAGGAACGATTGAAATTTTAACAAATTGTGGTTAAAAAAAACATAAAAACCTTTTATATTGAAATCGGACAAACCCTCCACAATTATAAATGGCTGTATAGTTAATCCAGCATTGTAATACTTTTCAGTGACTGTATCAATTTGCCTTTTATAATCGTTAATTGTCGGTAGTCGCAGTACGAAACTTTCCTGCGAATCAGCTATTGTTACTTTTTTTCGTAATTTACCGTTTCCACATTTAAACCTAGCAGGTGATGGTAAAACTGAATTCAACAGTATTGCGTATATATAATCTTGAGCATCTGCAACCGAAATATAAAATAAATATTACTTTTAATGTTTATGATAAATCAGGAATTAAAATTTACCTATGCTGCTTGCCGTCAAAACATTTGCGAAGAGTTGTTTGCAATGTTCGTTATGAATATTTTTCCCATAATAATTGTAAATTTTTTTCTTAAATTGGTCCCATTTAGAAAGTAGAAGATTGCCTTTCTGTGGATACATAATATCGAAATCAATGTTGACCTAAAACGAAACATTAGTATCCATATACAAATAAATAGCTCATGGCTACTTACCAATTCTGAAGCTCTTGCATCGGACAACTTCGTCCATTCAAGGAGAAATGTATGGCTACTTAAATTTTTTATATCTCTTTGCCGTATGTTAAAAGATCTTTTCCATTTTTCGCAGATCGATCCCCAATCATTACATTCTCTTAGTAAGGAAGCTTTCAATGAATTTTCAACTGATTCATCAATTTCGGGAACATCTTTGTTACAAAAATTAGGAGATGTGTGAGTTGCTGCTTTGCTTGTGCTAGGCTCGGAAATCAAAAGCTTTATTCTTTTGGACTTCTTGTTTCTATACTTGGCATAAAGTTTTCCGCTTGCGTTGTTCTTTCCTTTTCTTGAAATGTAATAATAATCCTAAAAATAAAGACATATTATAAGTTAAGAAACTACATAATCAGATACGTTGTTTATATTGTTAATCTTACCCTCATTTCGTTTTCAAGAGGAAAAACGGAACAAATTTCATCCAATATGCGCATATAGTCTTGAGTGTAAAGAGTAACATTGTTGGTTAAAATATCTTCAATAATTATATTAATTATATCATCTCTTTGCTCGTCACTTAATTTCTTATTAACGCTACTACATTCAAGCGCTAGTTTCCCCTTCGAGGTATGTGTTAACAATTCCGTTAGATCCTATATTAAATAAAAAAACTACATTAACTATGCTTACACAAATATTACTCTTACCTTACCTCTGACAAAATTCCTTTGGCTTTTGAGCAGTTCGAACCTGTAGTGTCGGGAGTACCAGGAGTACTTGCAGGTGTCTCGTTGCGTTTCCACCATTCACCTATTTTAGATGGAACTGACATAGTTTCGTCATCAATCCCGAGCTATTGTTATGACAATATTAATACTGAGTTCAACTCTGTAAAACAAATAATACGTACCTTTCGTTTTTTCCAAGCAAAGAGCTTTTCTCTGAATTCAACACGCAGTCCCAATGGTGGCACTGCTTCCTTTAAATCTTCTTTTTTCAAGTACTGCAAGCTGCGAAATGTTACATGTGATGCTAAAAGAACAAAAAAGAAAATTCTTTGTTAATTACACTGATTAACTGAAAAATTCATTTTTATTTACTTACCTTTTAATTGTTCAAAAAGCGACTCCATATTTATTCCTTTTAAGAACTCCCTTAACATATAATCGTCCTCATTGTTTTCCGCATCTTGACTGCTGCAATGGTTTGTATCGCGAACCACAACAATATTGCCATCGATTTCTAACAACTCACCAATGATATTTTGAGGATCTTGCGAATTATTATTCATTTTCAATAAATTTTTTGCACAATGCGTCCTTTCTCTTTCAATAACACGGAAAAAATGGTAAATATGCAGCCGATTGCACACGAGTAAAAAAAATGACAACGGTGGTGCATGATTCATACACGGTAGTTGCTAAAATGGCAACGATCGTGTACGATTCATGCACGTCGGTGTACAAAGTAACAACGGTGGTGCATCATTATGCAGGTGGTGGTGCATAATTCATACACGACCGGTGTCATATTGACAACGACCGTGTGTGAATCATGCACCACCGTTGTCATTTTTTACTCGTGTGTAATCGGCTGCAATTACCAATATTACAAATGGACAAATTAAGCACGGCTGTTGTTGGTACCGAAAGTTGACCACGTCTCGGTGTCAATTTGAGCACGTTCGTGCACAATTCACCAACAGCCGTTGTTGAAAAATATAACAACGGGTCGTTGCGAAAATGACAACATACGTGCTTGATTTCGCAACGGGATTTTTCCCTCAGTGTAGGGTAATGTTTTAAAATCTAGATAAATTTTTAAATCATGTTTTGTAGGGAATATTAAAAATTAATATTATTTTTTCATGATGTATATGAATCAAACATATTTTTGTTCTCTCCAAGATCCCAAACAAAAAACAAAACACTTGACGCTCTCTTCAAAAAGTAAAAAAAAAGATAAAAACAAAAAAAAATCGCGACACTGTCTTTGCTCAGTCTCAAAATCACACAATATCAACAAAAAAAGATTCACAACAACTACAACGCTATAATCAAGAAATACACCACAATACGAAAATGAAAACAACATACACATATACAAACATACATATACTCGCTGTTGTTGTTCCTTTTAATTTTGGCCAAGAGCCAAAGCTCTATACTTGGAGATCATCGGACAAAATAAAGATAGAAAAACAGAAGAAAAAAAATTGCTGAGTTTTTGCCAGAATTATTTATAACTGAAACGACGATGAAAAAAGAAGACTCGTTCACACGATGAACACAAGACTCTCGCCACAACAAGAATTACACATGTATGTGTGTGAAAAAATATGTTTGTGTATGTATATGTGCGTTTGAAATAACATCATGTGTATGAGAGATATTTTTCTTGTTCGTCTTTTCAATTTTTCCAAATACAATATGCCATCTCGTGAACAACACAATCGGCAAGTCAACAACGACAGCAACAACACCACCACCAACAACAACAACAATTAAACATTTCATTCGAAATTTGTACTCATCAAATACAATAACACCACACCATCGAAGAAACATGTAGGAAAGTATGAAAACAGCAAGAAAATTGTTCAACATTTGTATCTTTGTTTTTTTTCTCTCCCTCTCTCTCTTTCTCGATACTCTCTCGCTTGATGGTCTGCAATATTAAAGGAAGGAATGATAAAGTCCCCCACACAATAACAACATCCATCCATCCATTCGTTCGTTCAATCGAAATATTGAAACGAACAAAAAACAAAGCAAAAACGAGGGATATGATGATAATGTGAATTATATTTCATATATATCGCCTGTGTGTATGTTTTGTTGTTGTTTTAATTTTTCTCCCTCTTTGACATCACAAAAAGCTACAAATTTGAAAAGAAGCAATACAAGTTTAACACTGTTTCTTTCTTTCTGCCTTCAAAACGAATTTTCCCAGTGATATATATTTTTTGGAGCTAAATAAATTTTCATTAGTTGTGAACATTTATAATTCAATAATGGGAAATTGTTTACAATCAATATAAAACAGAATATTGTCTTTAGCAAAAACATTTGTTATTTGTTGCGTATGTAAATGTGTAAGGTTATTTCCTATTTCTTATGAAGTTCTCAAGATGTTAAGAAATTGAATTCTTGGCATTAAAGAGAGGCAAAGTTTACAATGTATACTCCATATAACTTTTTTTTTGTTAAGTTAAAATGAAGTATTGCAATTAAAAGCAGACTTTTATAAGTCACATTAAGGATTCGCCAAAATTCGAGATTTCTCACTCCATTTTGATCCATGATATTATTGTTACCCTAACACCCCGGCCGATGGAAGTGGAACCGATTTATTTATATTTATATCTTATATTTTACATACAAAATAAAAACAAATGGTAGGAATACAAAGGATTCAGTCGGGTGGGCCGACCATGTGATACCCTGCAACTTTAGAAATTTAGGGAAGAGCATGAATGAATTTCTTAAGGTACATTCTCTAATTCTTATACCCTCCACCACACTATGGAGGGTATATTCATTTTGTCATTCCGTTTGTAACTCCTCGAAATACTCATGTCAGACCCAACAACGTATATATATTCTTGATCAGCGTAAAATTCTAAGACGATTTAGCTATGTCCGTCTGTCTGTCTGTCGCGCTATCTTTCGAACAAATTGAGATAGAAGGCTAAATTTTTGCAGACGTGTATATTTTGCCAGTAGGCACGTTAAGTTCGTAAATGGACCATGTAGGTCCACGTCTTCGCATAGGCCCCATATAACGGTACCTCCCTATATTCGGTATTTTGATGATTTTAGCGTCATTATTCACCGGAATTGTTTTAAATTACGTATTTAAAGTTCGTAATATATATTTACTCAAAAGTATGTTATGTCTGCGGGACTTTTGATATTGATAATGAGCTATGTAGGTCCACGTTTTCGTATAGCCCCCATATAACGGTACCTCCCGATATTCGGTATTTTTATGATTTTAGGGAGATTATTTAACGGAATTGTTTGAAATTTGGCATTTGAAGTTCGTAATGGATACTACAACCTAAGACAGAAAATTATCTGTGCAGGTCCACATCTTCGTATAGCCCCCATATAATGGTACCCTCCGATATTCGGTATTTTGATGATTTTAGCGACATTATTTAACGGAATCATTCCAAATTTGATATTTGAAGTTTGTAATAGATACTGCAGCATAAAACAGAAAATGGGTCATGTAAGTCCACGTCTTCGTATAGCACCCATATAACGGTACCCTCCGAATCGTTTCAAATTTGGTATTTGAAGTTCGTAATGGATACTACATCCTAAGTCAAAAAATAAGTAATGTAGGTCCACGTCTCTCGTACCCCCCGATATTCGGTATTTTGATGATTTTAGCGACATTATTTACCAGGATTGTTTCAAATTTCGCATGTGAAGTTCGTAATGGATACTTCAGCCCATGCCAGAAAATTGTCTGTGCAGGTCCACGTCTTCGTATAGCCCCCATATTAAGGTACCCCCTATATTCGGTATTTTGATGATTTGAATTACATTGTAAACAGATTTTTCTTCAAGGTTCGCATTTAAATATTGTGATAACTTATGACAAAAGTTGCCTATGCTGGTCCACGTCGTCGTATAGGCATTCGGTATTTTTAATATTTTAACAGAATTTTTAACGGATTTTATTATTATTATTTTTTTTAATGTTCTAATTCGTTTCAAATGATGGGGGGTATTCAAAGTTCGGCCCGGCCGTACTTACTGCCTTTTCACTTGTTATTATTAAGGTTTGAAATATTTTCAAATAGTCATACAAAAGGGTTATCTTGGGTTTTCAGCGAAGCAAAAAACCATGCAAGCAATCTAAATAAGCCATCTCAGATCCAATTTCTTCATTTTATGGCAAATTCCAAGCGTGAAATCTGCAATCTGTTCAAGTTGAGTGGCATTTCTGTTGTAATTAGTGAACTCGAGGTAGCAACATATTTCCCCATAATAATTGTATCGTCAATTAAATTGTTTTGTTAGCCTAATGCCATTGCAAAAGTGTTGTTGGTCAATGCTTCTTAATAAAATCATATCACAATCTGCAGCGATTTAAATATAATTTGACAAAATTTACTTTTACACTAAATTCCGTCACACCTTCCATATTTCATTGAAATTGGAGGTACGTTTGTTGCATCAAATATGTGAAATCGGTCGAAAATATACAGGGTGAGATGAAAAAACTGCAACCAACTTCAGACGGCTGTCATTTGTAAGCAACTCGTCCGGCATTTGTTAAAATTATTCCACAGACAACTCATTATATTGTTTACAAGTGTACAAAAGAATTTTGGTGTGAATTTTCCAGAAAAAAAGTTATTCGTGATGGAATTCAAGCGTGATAGTGTGATTTTTTTATATATGGCTGGAAAGCCACAAGTTGCTATCGTTAGAGCACTTCAGCATGTAAATGTGAATAGATCTTTTGTATCTCGTACCATCGCTCGTTACCGAGATACTGATAGTGTAGCCCGACGTCAAGTAAGTGGACGGAAGAAAACAATAACATCAGCAGCAATGGTTCGGAAAGTAAAGAAGCGACTTGATCGAAACCCGCGTCGCAGTGACCGAAAAATGGCTCGTGAGCTGAACATATCGCAATATTCCATTTGGCAAATATTGAAAATGAGCTCGGGGTAAAGCCATTAAAATTCCAAAAAGTGCAAGAACTTTCACCGCAACAGAAAGAAAATAGACTCAAAAGAGCTAAAGAGTTGCTTCGCTTGGCCGAAAGGTTTTCTCCGATGAGAAAACATTCGTTGTCCAGCAGTTTGTAAACAAACAAAATGATCGTGTTTACTTTCCAAAGAGGTCCGGTTGGCCACCAGAAATCAGGCGCTGTCCAAAGCCCGTCGTAATAGCCGATGTTCGCTCTCCGCTCGTAGTAATCGACCGTGGTATCGGAATAAAGGGTCAATAGTTTGAATAATCATAACTCATGGCTGAGGGTATACATCTGTCGGCAAAACCGAGTGACTTTACTTGTTGTGTGAACAACAATTATGGGTCCAACTATTTTGCAACAACAAAATACCTATAGTATCTCAAATAAAGGCAAAATTTTTCGAAAAAAAATTATATATTTTCTATATTTTTTCATTGTTTTAACATTAATATTTATTTTCGACAAATTTACAACTATTTCCCAATTTGTATAACACACAACCTGTAGTGAGGTTTCTCCGACCAAACTTTGTTCGGCGTCTTTGTAAAGCCCTTACCATACACAAATTGATATAGCTTTGACATTTTATATATACATTTTATCAGAATTGCCATTTTCTTTTGCCAATTTTGGGTATTTGAGTTGTTTTTATTTAAAATTTATATTTGCAAAATATTTTCAATGCATTAATTTTAGTTATCCTATGTTTTTCCGGAACTTTTTGAACACGTGAAATATAATATAAAGTGAAACGAAAATTATGAAATTAAGTCCCTTTTTGGCATCCATAGCCATTAGCTATTCTTTAACCAATTTTGGAAATTTACTTTAAATCAGGGGTGCTCAAAAATAAATATCTGTTTTCAGTCAAATTTCTCTTTGCTTATTTAAATCAAGAACAAAACAGTGTTAAGTCATTATTTATACAAATATTTTTTATCCATTTGCTTTATAAACTATTTTGGCAAACATTCGTGTTTAAAATCAATTAAATAGAACAGTAAAATATAAAGAAAAACAGAATTTTAATTTTCTCTTAAATTATCTCTTTTTTCTCTTCATGTTCTAGAACACGGTTTTGAGCACCCCTACTTTAAATTCAAAAATTTTAATCAAAACTAAATGTTTTACTCACACAAAATCTCTTACTGATCAACGTTAGATTACTCTTACTGTAAAAAATTGAGTTTATTACGGAACGTCAAAGAGAGAAAACCAACAAACGAGCAACATCAGCATTATCTCTCTTAT